GTAGATAGATAGATAGATAGATAGATAGATAGATAGATAGATAGATAGATAGATAGATAGATAGATAGATAGATAGATAGATAGATAGAGTGGAACTCAGTTTCAACGAACTGGGGTTCAAAGAAAACTCGGATTCAACGAAAGGTGTTGTAATCCCCATATCTTTTTATTCATAAAAATCTATAAAAATAACTCCGATTCAACGAACACATAAATGAGCAGGATTGGATTCAACGAAGTCGCTCGCAGGGTGAACTGCTCTCTCCGACCAATCAGCGGCCTCCTTTCATACTCACACAGACGTTGTAAATCACGCACCCATGTCTTTGGCTGTAGTCTGTCAGGGTCGGATGGGCGGCCAGAACTCGTGTGACAGTGTGTCTGGGGGGATTGAAGGAGGGAGTAAAAACGATCCGAGCGTGGAATGTCTGTAGAGAAATAAACGGAATTACAGTTATTTTTTAAAATCCCGGCTACTGATCAATATTATAATGATAAGCTGATCTTGACATAGAATAGATCTATGTAATGAACTGCGAGCTGGATTGTGGAATTACAGGTTGCTGTATGCTAGGCTCTACACAGCAACATAATTTGTTTGACAAACAATACGTTATAGATGATAGATGACACAGGCGAGTATTTGAACAAATCGGCCCCTTTGCACAGTGTGTGCTTGGTAGAGTTCAGTGTATTTTTATGTATTTTTTTCAGCAATTCTTTGGCATAAAAAACCCCGACGAAAGCGTTTCTCATTTGAAAAACAAAACTCTTTTTGACTGAGAAAATATAATATATTATGCACTACTTGCTCGGTGCCTGTAATTGTCTACTAAAAAACTCATATTTGCCATAACGAACTCTAGGATTAAAAGAAATTGAAGGCCAGGCACGACGACTTCGTTGAATCCGAGTTCCACTGTAGATAAATAGATAATAGAAAGACAGATAGATAGATAAATAGATAGACAGACAAATAGATAGAAATCTGATAGATAGAGAGGGAGAAAGAGAGAAAGAGAGGGAGGGAGAGACAGAAAGACAGAGACAGAGACAGAGAGAAAAAAGACTGGGAGAAGACAGACAGCGAAGAACCCGCCTCCAGAATGATTTAAGTACACCAAATGTCTAAATTGTGCCCTCTCGACTTGGGTTCGAGGATCCTGTGTCAGAATCTCCCCAAGCTCAATTGGACTCGAAAAGAATACTCGGGGCAAAGGGTCAAGGAGTAGAATGCTGCAATTTTAAAGATCATAATCTGCCAACTTGCTATCTACAACCCGCTTACAAATACCCCCAACATACCCGCCACTATACTGTCTTCCCACTTTGCTCCTCTCTACACTTGCTTGGCCCGATAGAATAGGCTAACACTAACGATGTCACCTTAGCAGAGACTGAGCCCACCATTTCGGAACTTCATGGTGACCGTAAAGATGGTTCCAGTAGGGAACGGGATAGAGGGTGCCCACGTCCCTCGTGACTCATTGGAGCAGAGGAAGACAGGACTAACGCTAACATTACTTAAACGCAATCCCTCATCATCACTCATCACCACTATTAATTCTAAAATCATCACCTCTCTCAGATCAATGATTTACATCTATAATCCTGGAATCTCTATCCGCTATTACAGTTAATTGATATACTAAGCATGCATGTAATACACTATTGGACACAATCATATGCATTTTTTTCTACTAATCAGATGGCGTCAATCTCATAGAAATGGGCAAGGGGAAAAAAAGTACACCAAATGTCGATGTAGACTTTGTACATTTTGTGTCAATGGGGACGTAAAACATTTCCAATGGTGTTGAATTTTTTCCCAGGGCGTGTGTAACGAGAATGTGATTCCGTTCACGATGAGTTACTTGGTGTGTCGAGCACAGGAGGGTGTGTACCCGCCCGAGTGTAGCACAGACTCCGTGTTGGAGAGTGTGCCGGCCCTGAACGAACTCAAGGTGATGGCTTGTGAGAGATAATGTGTGTAATAAATTTACTTTGATTGTCTATTACAAGCACACAGCTCTAATTGAAGACATGGAGGCTGCCATCCTGTTCCATCAAGGGGGCTGCCCAGTTTGTCACAGGCCCAGTTTGTCACAATTTCATTTAAGTATTTGGGTATTGATGGCAGTCATAATTATAGCACTTTAACACTGTAGTTGTAACTTTAGTTTTTTATTCTCCACCTCCAAATTGGCGGTGTAGAGATAGTCCCTCTAAAATGTCAATTTAGCTCGTGTCGTTCAATATTTCTTCCTTTTTGTATGCAAATCAAAGCAAATTTGAATTACTCTGTAAAATTTCAACAATGAATGTTCTTTCGTCTAAAACAATTGACAAATAAAATTCAATTCATACAATCATTCAATCATTAATTTACTCTTTTTGAGAGTGTCAGTGATAACTTCCATTATACAGGGCACAGCCGAGGCCTGTGACAAACTGACATCTTGGTACAAGATAGATTTACACTACTAGACACTTAAAAAGGAGATAACTCTATGGGATACACTGGAACTGATTGATCTTTATTCAGAAGAAATACACAATCGACAAGAGGTCAAAATGATAATCAGTAGGTAACTAGTTAGAAGAGTTTTGTCCATCTGTTCAATATAAATACAAATGTATTACAGGTTGATCGTTACTTTATTACATCGTGTCTGTCTGTCTGTCTGTCTGTCTGTCTGTCTGTCTGTCTGTCTGTCTGTCTGT